TATTTTGTCTTGTTTTTGTTTTAATGAAAGGGTGGTGTCGATGAACTAATAGTACCCTGCAAACTGTGACATGTGAGATTCCTGTTGTTCTTATTAACTGCCACCTTCCTTCAGAAGAACAAGATTCCTCCAAGCGTGGTTCTCTTAGTACCTGCCTCAGAATCAGAAGGAGGTCTCGTCAAAGATGCAGGTTCCAAGGCCAAGGCCCCAGAGCCACTGAGCCAGAATTGCTGGGTGCAGGGCCGTCTACCAAGCTTTCCCGCTGATTCTAAAACACACTCAGGCTTAAGAACAATTGCCTTTGGAGTCAATAATCCAGTAAACACTGGTTAAACAGAAGAGGGAGATCAGTTTTCAAAAACAAAACTCAAACATGTAACAAGCTTGAAAAGCCATTTGTGTGTCAGGATCAGAGTAGGGCCATCGGGGATAAGCAGACCCCAGGCTGGGGAGAAGGGGATTCCAGACATCAAGAAGGCAGAACAGAACTGGTGATCCCCAAATGCCCCAGTTGTAGTGCCAATAGGGGTTCAGGCCTGGAAGAGCAGATATCAAAGCAAGTAGTGTGGCAAAGGTGCCAGGAGTATCCCCAGCAGCAGGAAAAGCATCATGTCAGCAAGTCCCACAGCAGGCGATGGGAAAGGGCCAGGGAGGAAGGGAGCAGGGACCGAGTCTGACCTTCTGGGAAACTGGCTGGAGGAAAAGGCAGGGGCCAGGGCTCCAACAGAGATGTAAGGCAAGTTCTCCTTATAAGGCAAAAGACCAACCTAAAGGTCTAGGGCACAAGGGGGGAACAGGGATAACTTGATGCAAACAGCTGAGCAAAAACCTCAAGCCTACGGCCAGGGCAGCGTCCAGAGGAGGAAGTTAAGTGGGTCCAGCCATGGGAGTTTCAGGGCTGCTGACATAGGGTGTCAGGCACACAACTGCAGTCTGCACCCCACATAAGCCACCCAGCTGAGCCACTCTTTTCAGAGTCTGACGCTGGCCTGAAGCACACGGGGATGTATTATATTTTAATACTGGTCCTGCCATGAGCCGCCTGACCTCAGTCAATCTCTTTCTTGACTCTGGGTCTCTGTTCTCCATCTGATACAGGAGGGACCATACTTGCTGATTCCCAGGTCCCTATCAGCTCTTACATCTACCTCCCAGCGTATCTGTGAACATGAACTACTGTATCTGTGAGCAAGCCAGACCACACACATGTCCCTTGAATCTATCCTCTTGCTATTTTCTACCTGACTGCCATCTGCCCATCTTCTTCTAAGCCCAAGCCCAAGCAGGAGACAGGTCCCCAGTGGATTTCAAGCCAGGGTTTCTCCCACTGACCACCAGTCTGACCTTCCCTTCTTCTTTCTTTCCCCTGCCACATGAAAACAGGGTGGCCTGGGTGACAGCGGAGAGCTCTCCTGAGGGGGTGGGCTGGCGAACATGCTCAGCTTTGGCTAACGCAACAACAACAGAAAAAAACAAAGAAGGGGAGGAAGGAGGCCCCAAGCCCAGAGCAATTCTCGGTGGGCTGTCCAAGTTTGGGAGGAAAATAGAAGCGCTCCACTCAAGTGACAGCCTGGAGGACTGGGTCACATGAGAGCACTTGGCTAATCTGGAAAGTTATGAAATGATGGGAGCACACTAGTCCACTCACTCTGAAAATGCAAGGGAGGAAAAACAAAGCAACACCGAAAAATATTTCCAGCCTGCGTGGCAGCAGAAGGAAGGAGCAGAGTTTTGCCTATTGTAGCAAAATTGACTACAATCTTAGAAAGGTTTTGCAAGATGATGGAAAGGGCCTCCTGAATACTCAGGGTGGCAATGGGAGGGTGGGAGGAAAAAAGGAGAGAGGGAAGGGGTCTTTGGAGCCCCCCAGCTCTGTCAGGTATGTGTCATGAGATCGAGAACAAAGTGTGTAGCCTCCCTGAGACTTAGTTTCTCAAATGTAAATGTGGATATCACCAAAATTTATTAGAGAATTTAAGGATAACTGTATCATAGCTCATAGATCCTAAGATACTGATCGTAGCATCTCTGAAATTAGAATGTGTCTCGTAATCCATCGCATTTTAGAGTCTATGAACTAGTGGTATGTAAAATGCATCACCCAAAGTGAACACTCAATAACTATGGACAAACATAATCTAGTAAAAGCCGAAAGGTGAATCCTAACACATCCTGCAATATAATTGAGGCAGTTAACAGAAATGTCAGGGTGGCTAGGTTGCTGGAGAATGGGAGCCACACCTTCTGTTCATTGTACACGGTTCATGATCTCTCAGGTGAATGGATATAACTGAAGGGCCCTCAGGTTCATTTCAAATCCAAGATTCCAGGTTCCTCAGACAGTGTATCTGCTGGCATAACACTACCAACCCCCAGAGTTCCCTATTCTCTGAATCCAAGTTCAGGACACATGATTTCTCATCACTTACAAAATGAAATCTAAAAAATGTCTGGTCAAACTCAAGTCATCAGCGGAGACTAGAACCACCCAGAACAACCCAAAGTTCTTAGAACCGTATTGTTTCCCACGTCTGGCTCTTTGCATGTGCTCTTCCTCCTGCCTGGAATTGCCTCTTTTTTCCCTTCCCTTCTTCTTTCTTTCCCCTGTGCTGGGGGCATTGGATACAGCAGGACAAATGGACAAGGAATCCTTTCTGTCCACAAATTACTGAGAACTTGGCAGGGAAGAGAGTTAGACAAGTAATACCGGGTAAGGACAGGGTACAGGGAGTGCTGAGATCGGAGAGTGGACCTATCCTCACACTGACTACCCGACAAAACCCTACTCTTCTCTGAGGCATAAGTCAGCATCCCCTCTTCGGTGAAGCTGTCCAGGACGCCTCCAATCAGGCAGACTTCCGCAAGCCTGAGGTAGCACCTTTCACTCTGGGTCTCTGGACCTCTGACTTCATTTCTCAACAGTGAGCTCCTTGAGGGCAGAGATGTGTTTTATTCGTAGCTTAGTCCCTAGCAGGACAGCATGAACAGAGGAGGGGCTCAAGAAATGTTTGCTAAATGGAGAGCAATGAAAAAAGGGTTTATCTGTGATTGGTGGGTTTCTCCATAGGAAAAGTCTTACAACAGATGTAAATAACCAAATGCATTTAACGCCTCTTCTCTGAGCCTTGGTGTCTGTCTCTGTGAAATGAAGAAATTAGTTATCAGTGCTTTTCTTTAAAACACAATTCCCATTCTCTCTCTGTCTCTCTGTCATCTCTCTCAATCTCTCTCTCTCTAGTAGTGAAATCTTTTCTTGAAGTGAAATCTTACTCGAAGCCCAATGTGCAGTGCAAATAAAGTCTGAGCTTCTCTAAAGTGAGACATGGTCTCTGACCCTTCAAGTCTCACCTCCGCTTTCCCTGTTCCAGGAAGAGTGCAGCTGGACACACTCTGAAGTCCCTCTCACCTCCAGGCCCTAATTACATTGAGTAGCCAGATTCACCTGGACCACATGTTACAACCAGAATATAATGCTCAATATTGATCGAGTGCCTAATGTGTGTCAGAACAGCCAGGCCCTTTTAAAAATTATCTTATTTCCTCTTTTTTTCTTTCCATTCCTTTTTCTTTGCCCCCGGTTCTTCAGTTTCCAGTTAAAAATAATCGTGTATTATTGTTAGCTGCCTTAAACACTTTTGGAGGATGAGTTATAGAGTTGTAAACAGATATAAACACAAAGCAAGGTGTTTGTGTAATCCCCACAACAAACCTGTGGGGTTGGTTTTAGTAATTCTGTTTCATGACTGAGATCAGCGGGGCTCAGAGGGGAAGGGAAGTTAGTTGCCCAAGATCATTCCAGGAAGTGGGTGAGCATCTCCTGGGAGCTTCCCCCGCCCAGCAGCATGCTCACTGAAAGGTGCACGCTTACTAATTTATGTAACCCCTAGAAAACCCCATGAGGTGGATACTGTTGCTATAGCCATGTCACAGATGAGAACACAGGATCAGAGAGGTGAAGTAACTTGTCCAGAGCCAGGCAATCAATAAAAGCCGAGCCAGCCTTGAACCAAGTCTGCGTGATGCCCAAACCTGGGCTGGTACCCAGTGTGGAGCCTCCAAAGCCCTGGTCCTAACTTCCCTCCCCCCTCTGAAGGGGCTCTCCATGCCCTCCTGGCCGGGATTTGGGAAGATGCAGAAATGCCAGGGACAACACCATGCAGAAGTGCAAACCACGGTCTTTGAGCAAACCGGGCTGCCTGCGGGCAAGTCTGGGTTTCATCGCGACTTGGCTGGGCGACTTTGACGAGTTATTTAACCTCTCTGTGTCAGTTTCCTCAGCCACAAAATGGGGATTACAATCGTAGCAACCTCAGAGGGATTGTTAGGCATGAAAACTCTTAGAACAGCATCTAGCATAGATTAAGTACTCGATAATTGCTAGCTCTTATGATGCGTGTCAAATGCCTAGCAATTAATAGCAGCTTTCTAATTATGTTATTACCATTTCAGTCTCTGTCTTGGGGGATTCCACGCATCTGTGGAACTTTTGCCCACAGAGAAGCTAGAAGAGGCCACAGAACTGACTCCAGGTAGGGTCCTGATCCTCTTCTTCTCTCCCAGGCTGAAGGCTTCTGCTCCCTTCCAACAGAAACTTATTCAAATCGACAAACACTCTTAAACACCTACTATGTTCCAGGCCCTGCTTGAGACTCTGGGTCCAGAGAAATCTCCCTGACTTTTGCACGTGTGTGTGTAAAATATTCATAAATAATATTTATCATTTTAACCATTCATAAGTGTCCAATGCAGTGACAGCAAAATACATTCTACCTTCTGTCTCTAACTACATTTTTTTTTTTTTTTCGGCACACGGGCCTCTCACTGTTGTGGCCTCTCCCGCTGCGGAGCACAGGCTCTGGACGCACAGGCTCAGCGGCCATGGCTCACGGGCCCAGCCGCTCCACGGCATGTGGGATCTTCCCGGACTGGGGCACGAACCCGCGTCCCCTGCATCGGCAGGCGGACTCTCAACCACTGCGCCACCTGGGAAGCCCCTCTAACTACATTTTAAAACATTTTATTGGGATAAAATATACCGCTTAACATTTACCATTTTAACCATGTTTTAAGTGCATAGTTCAGTGAGTGGCATTAAGTATATTCACATTTTTGTGCAGCCATCCTTATCATCCGCCTCCAGATTTCTCACGTTTTCAAACTGAAACTCTGTACCATTAAACACTGACTCCCCGTCCTCTCTCCCTAGCTCCCGGCAACATTCTACTCCCTGTGTCTATGAACTTGACTCTTCTAGGAACCTTGCATCAGGGGAATCACGCAATATTTGTCTTTTTGTGCCTAGCTTATTTCACTTAGCATCATGTCCTCAAGGTTTGTCCGTGTTGTAGCGTGTGTCAGAAATCCTTTGCTTTTTAAGGCTGAACAACATTCCATTGAGTGTACGGACCACACGTTACCTGTCCGTTCTTCTGTTGATGAATCTTTTGGCTACTGTGATAACGCCACTGTGAACAGGGGTGGACAGTTCTCCTCGGCTTGGAGCTGCTGTGGTCTAATGTGGGGGGCGACAGGTAGATTCACCAGCAAGTTACCCTGGATGAGCCCCCATTTTGTCATCTGTGAAATGGGGATACTGTTACCCACTGTAAGGGTTCAATGAGATGATGCACCATTTGGGGCAGTGCCGACACGTTGTAAACACTTGATAAATGTGAGCTTTTACTGCAGCTGCTGCCGCCGTGGGGCAAGATGTGTCTAGAGAAGAGGGGGCCTGAAAGCGGGGGGTCAGCTTGCGCCCTCCCACAAAGGTCACGTCAGCCCACCCTCATGAACATCCTGGCGAGTGGTCCCGAAGATCTCAATTTTCCAGGTGAGGAAAGAGACTCAGAGAGGTCCTTGGCTGTGATGGTACAGGTGGGTGTGATGGTGCTGGAACGGGGCTCCTCAGGCCTCTTCACTCAGATCCACAGAGCAGGGATGGTGTCAAGGCCCAGGGCAGGGAGGTGCAGCCCACGACAGCCCCTCAGATGTCTGCAGCACTGGCCGGGGAAAAGCCAACATGCTTGTCCCCGACGGCCTTAGTGTCGGAAGGAAGAGCTGGGAAGGCAGAAGGGAGGAAAGGTGTTAACGCGGAGGCAGAGGGCGCAGCCTGAGCGAAAGCCAAAGGGTGGGGGCAGCAGTGTCTGCAGGAGAAATGGGAGGAGGCCGGGCTGCAGGGAGCAAAGGCCGCTGTGCGTGGCAGGGTGGGGTCGGGTCATGGAGGGCAGGGGAGCTGGCCCAGCCCAGTCTGGTTCCAGGGCTGGGAGGGCTGGGAGGGCTGGGATGAACTACACAAGTGGTGTTTCTGGAGATTAGTCAGGCTGATTGAACAAGACGCTTGCCTCACGACAGGTCCCTGCTTTCGAACCACAGGTGATATTTAAAAAATTATATGTGTGTTTCACCAACATCACATACATGGTTCAGAAAGTCAGACAGTCCTGTAAGGCCCTTTCCCCAGGCCCATCTCCCTCCATCCCCAAATCTCACTGCCCAGAGTATTTCTTCCGTAGTTAACTCCATATTTCTTTTCTTTTTTTCTTTTTTTTTTTTGCGGTACGCGGGCCTCTCACTGTTGTGGCCTCTCCTGTTGCAGAGCAAAGGCTCTGGACACGCAGGCTTAGCGGCCATGGCTCACGGGCCCAGCCGCTCCACAGCATGTGGGATCCTCCCAGACCGGGGCATGAACCCGTGTCCCCTGCATCAGCAGGCGGACTCTCAACCACTGCGCCACCAGGGAAGCCCCCATATTTCTAAATAATGTGTTTAAACATCTCTTTCTTCATTTTCAGTTTGAGATATGTTCTATCGACTTGCTATGATGGAAGAGAAGGATCTAGCTCTCTTCCCCACAAAGCCACTTCCCCTTACCCCAACTTCCCAGTCCAGTTACAACATAATTTTTGGTTAGATTTAGCATTTAGTATTGCAACCACGTAGGTCACAGCTGAACCATATAGTATGATGATTAAATTTCTCCTTTTGTACAACTCATTCTTTTTGCTGAAATTAAGGTCTCAGTTTTTAACACGATACACTTCATTTTCTAAGCACATTTATCCATCTGAGAATGTAAGTCTTTTCTCAGAAGTTTCAAACGCAATAGCTACTCAATGATCTGTCCATCTTGCTTCCTTCCAGAGCCTTCAGTGCTTCTAGTCTAATTCAGACACCTGTTCTCTGCATGCTGCAGAGGTAGCTATGCCCAGCTGTGTTTCAGTGGAGCCCCTGAGGCCAGAGAGGTGACCAGGGTCAGATGCATCTTGGCCCAATGGTCATTCATCTATAGATTTTACTCAGAAAATACCTATTGTGTGCTTTCTAGGTCCCAAAGAGGTCCAGTGCCAGAGGCTGGGGACCCAGAGGTGAATTAGATGTGGTCTCCACCTCCAAAGGGGTCTGAGCCCAAGTAAGTGCTGGGCCAGAGGCAAGCTCTGGGAGTTTTGGGGTGGGGGGAGGGCAGAGAAGAAGCCCTTAACTCAGCCTTGGGTAGGGCCAGTATAGAAGGCTTCCTGGAGGAGGTGAGGCTAAATGAGTCCCAACTTGTCAGGAGGAGTTTTCTAAGAGTTCTGGGAAGGGCATGCCCAGTATGCAAGTGTCATCTGCACAGTCATGGGGACATGAGAAAGCATGACTCTTTCTGGGAATTTCAAAGAAGTAATTAGTGATGATCATGTGGGAGGGTTCTAGTGGAAGGGCTGGTGGTGTCTTGTGTACCAGGCTCAGGGAGCTGAAGAAAACAGAGAGAACAGAAGGATCTTAAAGAGGACAGACATGAACAGGTCTGCATTTTTTAGAAGACAGGATGGCTGCAGGGGGTCAGATAGATTGGAGAAAGAAACGGGCTAGTGAGGGGAACGTTGATGTCTGGCAAAGGATAAAAAGGGACTGAACTACCCCTGGCACTGGAGGTGAAGCATGGGGCTCACAAGACCTTATGGAGCCCAAATGGACTAAACTTGGGGTCACAGGGAACGTGAGAATACTGACCGATAATCCCCAGGTGTCCCAGGGAAAAGATGTTTCAATTCAATGCGTGGCTCCTGGGAAACCAGAAGCTACTATGGGCTGGAAAGAAGGACATTGACTTCTTGGTGTGTTTGAAGGGCCAGAGGTGCTGAAAGGATGGATGCCCAGGGACTGAGGAGACAGGGTGAGGGCCGGGGAGTTTAGAAATTGGATGGCAAACGCAAGATTAAAAGGCTATGGAGTCAGAAGTGTTGGTACAGCCTAGCTGGTAAGAGCATGAACTCTGGGCCCAGGCAGCCCTTGGTTTAAATGCCTGCTCTGACACCTGCTTGCTGAGCCTCTGTTTCTTCATCTGCAAAATGGGGACCATAATCCTACCTACCTCGTGGGGCATTTGTGAGGATTAAATGAACCCCTGGCTGTAAAGTGCTTGGCACAGCGGCTAGGACATAAGAAGTGCTTCATTTTGTGCCTTCCTATTGTTTGTCTTAGGGATCAAGCATGGCTTCAAAAAGCAGGTGAGATCTGAGCTGACTTCGGAAGAGGAGGAGCCAGACCTATCTTCATAGGAGCGTGACCTGTGCTGTCACACCAGGCCCTGTGCTCAGAAGGCCCCCGTGCTTCGTTTAATGTTCTCCTTTGCCATCTTGGAGTTCTGAATTTTTGAACAAAGGACCCCATAGTTCCATCGTCCACTGGGCCCGACAAATTATGTAGCAGTGCTGTGAATAGGAGACCATCAGGCAGAGAAGAGGGGGTATCTTTGAAGCAAAAGGGCTCTGAGTGTGCAAAGGCATGCTGAAACTTGAGGCTTAGCTCATCCTGGAAACACTGCCAGGCACGCTGTTTCTAGTCGGAGAGCTGTGCATCCCAGGAAAGCGGGAGAAGCTCCAAGTGGAAAACAGTGAAAGGCTTCAAACGCAAGGTTAGGAGGTTTGGATGTTGTATGAGGTGTCCGTGGGGAGCCTTCCAAACTGTGAATTGGGAACGTGATAGCTCACGGATGGCACTGTGGCACTGTGGAGGCGAACGGTGCAGACGGTGTTATGATGTGTACTTTACAGATGGGGAAACTGAGACCCCAAGAGGTGATGTGAGCAGGGCTGCAAGAGAACTTTTGTGGGCTCTAGGCACTTTTAGCTTCATGGACCCCTTTCTTCAGAAATCTGCATATATGTGTACATATACGTGTATGTACACATACATACTCATGCACATATGCATGTACATATGTGTATGTATAATTATATTTTACACCTGCATTGGTATAAAGGCAAATACATTAATATTATATACTAAAACACTTTCTTTGACTTAAAGTACGGTGGGCCCGAGGTTCTGTGCCTGCTGCACTTAATGGAATATCACCCCGGACACCGGCTGCTCAGCCCTTCTGTCTCTGCAGGAGCTGCCCTCAGGACTCCTGGATCTTCCTGGAATGGGTGGGCGGCCCTCTTCTCCCCAGGGGTAGCACTTGCCAGTCCCTAAGCCCCTTTCAGATGGAACCTGCTTTGCCTCCAAAGACTTTCCATCCCAGTTTCCTAAGGAGGGTGCCGATGACTGTTTGGATTTGTATCCAGATGGTGGGGCTGAGTGACAGGCAGAGAGAGAGTTGCATGTGCCAAAATGTTCATTGCAGCTCTATTTACAATAGCCCAGAGATGGAAACAACCTAAGTGTCCATCATCGGATGAATGGATAAAGAAGATGTGGCACATATATACAATGGAATATTAGCCATAAAAAGAAACGAAATTGAGCTATTTGTAGTGAGGTGGATGGACCTAGAGTCTGTCATACAGAGTGAAGTAAGTCAGAAAGAGAAAGACAAATACCATATGCTAACACATATATATGGAATTTAAGAAAAAAAAATGTCATGAAGAACCTAGGGGTAAGACAGGAATAAAGACACAGACCTACTAGAGAATGCACTTGAGGATATGGGGAGGGGGAAGGGTAAGCTGTGACAAAGCGAGAAAGTGGCATGGACATATATACACTACCAAACGTAAGGTAGATAGCTAGTGGGAAGCAGCCGCATAGCACAGGGAGATCATCTCGGTGCTTTGTGACCACCTAGAGGGGTGGGATAGGGAGGGTGGGAGGGAGGGAGACGCAAGAGGGAAGAGATATGGGAACATATGTATATGTATAACTGATTCACTTTGTTATAAAGCAGAAACTAACACACCATTGTAAAGCACTTATACTCCAATAAAGATGTAAAAAAAAAAAAAAAGAGAGAAGAGAGAGTTGCAAATGTCCCTGGGTCTGGGAGAAAATCAAAGGTCTCTGTGTCTGCAGATGTCTGTGACTTCACTCCTGGTGCCACCTACAGCATCACCCCTGGGGACTGGGCTGCCCACTTACCCCACCCATGTGGAGGGTGGGGAGGCTGTGTCAGCGGTAGCTGCTGAGGATGCTGTCTGGAGAGGAGAAACATCACTGTCTGTCTGTCTGGGGTTCCAGGAAAACCTGCCTGGAGGTGGGGGAAGCATGAAGGCCTTTGTGGGTCAGCTGCTCAGGTAGCCATCATGGAAGGCAGATGGGGGCTCCAGAAGTATCTTTCCCCCTTCATCTTCTTCCTCCAGCTTTCCTCACAGATTCCTCACTGGGCTTCTCGTTCTTTCCTCCATATGCCCAGGATGGTGGCAGGATGGCCTGATTCATGAGCTTCAGTCCAGTCTCCCACTTCCCACCTTTGGCCACTGGATGTACCTGGGTAGGCGAGGCAGGCAAGAGACGGCACAGAGAGTGCCAATCTGGGAAAGAAAAATAGGTCGGTCCTGGCTGTCCCTTTAGGTCTCAATCTTCCCTCATCTTCAAGTCATGTCTCTCCAAGCCCCAGATCCCTTTCACTAGTTATTTATAATGGATGGGTGAATAAATGAATGAGTGAACATCCAACCTTTCCCAGTCTTAGAAGTCACCTCTACTTCTGCCCTCCAATTCCTGCAGTCAGGACATAGAACCCAACTGTCTCTTCAATTTCAATGAAATTGAAACTTGCAGATCTGGAGAAAAGTCATTGAGAAAGTACCCACCTGATCACTTCTATTTTCTCTATGAAGGCTGTGGGTCTGGTGAGAAGATAAAAGATGAAGTTTGGAATTGCTATTGAACAGAAGGGAGACTGACTTGATTGGGGATCTGCAGACACATTGCAAGGTAGTGCCATGGACTCTATGATTTGGGGAGGGGGGTGGATAGGAGTAATAGCTAATATTCCTGGAACAATTATTACAGGCCAGGAACTGGGCCTGGTGCCCTATTTACATGCCTTCCTTTCATCTTCACATTCACCCAGGAGGCAGGTGCCTAAGTAAGGATGACCCAGGTCATGCTGCAGAAATTTAAAAAAAACACAACAACACACAAGAACCATTCTAAGAGGCTGACAGACACAAAACATTTATTTCTTGCTCATGCTACATGTCCATCCATCAATGTTATCAGAAGAATAGACACAGTGAGACTAAGATCTGAAAGTCTGGGAAGGGAAAGAGGGAGGCGTCCAGAGCCTGGAATTCAGGAGGAGGTCAAAAGGCCAGTGTTGGTGAGAGAGCTCTGGAAAGATAAGAGGGAGGGGTCAGAGAGTGGGACCCTGCTGTTTGAGATTTCAGGGGTGGAGCAATAGCCAGCCAAGATAAAAGCCAGGTGTGGCTTTGTGTGTGGGTAGCTGGAGTGGCATAAAGGTGAAGGTCCCCAGAGCGGAGGAGGTCAAGTTTCTGACAGATGGAGCAGTGCTTCCATTCCCTGGGGAGAATGGGAGTCCAGGGAAGGTTATAACAAGCCACTGATTAAGTATATTGCAGCTCCCTGGGCTGTACATTTCACCAGGAGATGAGGTTTGGAAATAATGACTTTTTAATAATCAAACATAGATATATAAATAGAAGACCTCAAAAAAGGTCTGTGTGGAAGCCCACTCCCCTCTCCAGTAGAAAGCTGGAGAAGCACTAGATGTGGAAGAATCACTGAAAAGCTGTAGATGGTGACAACTGGGAGGATTTGAGATGCAAACATCCAACAACCAGGAGTCTATTAAGAGTTCCATTCAATGGTAACGATAATAAAAGTTAACAGTTCACGAGAGCTTATTATATGCCACACACTGTCCTAACCACTTTATATGGATAGCTGCTTCAATTCTCTCATGACACCCTACACAGAGGCATCATTTTTATTCCCAGCACAGGTGGAGCTACATAACTTGGCCAAGGTTATGTACTAATGTGTCAGAAGTGGGATTTGAACTCAGGCAAACTGGCTTTAGAGCCCCTACACTTAACTGCTACATGAGTGGGTCTCCAATATGGGTGAGCATCAGAATCTCTCAGGGCTCATTAAACAGAGTGTTGGGACCCTCCCCTAGGGGTCTGGGGTGGGGCCCAATATTTTTCATTTCTAAGAAGATCCCAGGTGATCCTCAGGCTACGGGTCCCAAGACCACACTTGCTACTGCCTCACAAATAGACACAGAGCAACTATTCAGGGCACAGCAAGTACAACATCTCTTTCCAAACATGGCTACCAAACGCCTGGGAGCAGGTGTAGGTGTGTGCATGTGTGTGTGTGTGTGTGTGTGTGTGTGTGTGTGACAGAAGGCAGAGGATTATGACTTAAGTAGCACTGGGAGACAAGAAACTTGATCCTGCCTCTTGGCCCCGAGGTATGTGGGATACGGAAAAACAAAGCATCCCCAGAGAGAGAATGAGTGGTACAGGTTCCACTTAAAGTCCGGAGATGAGGCATACAGAGCGGCCAGGTTTTGAATGGCATGCATTTGGTACATATAGGGCCTCTAGAGGGCAGAGTGGGAAGAGGGGCAGAGACGGCGGCAGCCACAGGCTAGAATAGGAGAGACTGGGGTGTGGGTGTTGGGTTGGTAAGGAAGATAGCAGTTGTCTGAAGATGGCCATGCAGGAGAGAAGCACAGACAGGTCATCAGTGGAGGCCTTCCTGAAGCTGATTATCTCTCTCCCCCTTCTGGAAATTTCCCAGGGGTCTGTGATGACAAATAAGACAGGAGCTGATGCCTAAATAGAAGTTGAAGGCTCTGAGGCTTCTCCTGGAAAGGACTGAGCCAAAATCAGGTGTCAGCCTCTGCAGAGCCAGCCATAAATCTTAAATTCACGGGTCACTGAAATGACCAACTCTTTGCCTCCTGAAGAAAATCTTCTGCCTTCCCCAGTCACTGCCTTTGCGTGAGCATGCGGAACCACCTCCGTTTCCCAGCCGCCATCCCTCCTGCAGCTTGGGGTCCAGCTTAATTAAGAGTCCGCCGGTCGACTGGTCTCGATCACCTCTCTGATTGGGCACCAGCTGTGTTTTCTCTCGACAAGCACTCCTTTACGGGAATTCTAAAATGCCTTACACGAAAAAACATAACAGTTTAGGGTTATAGGATCATAAAACCAGCAACACTTGTTTTCTACAGAAATGGAGAGCACATCTCTCTCTATGTTCCAGAAAATACTTTTTGGAAAGTTGGGAGGGAGTGTACTGAACATCAAACTCTCTGTTTGTTTATGTTCTGGGTATGAATGCTGATTGTGGTTTTAAATGGAGTTTTGCATAATCACAGGTGTTGGCACATAAAGAATTCGGGAAGTTCCCTGGCAGAAATGTGAGACTTGAGAAATTGAACCATGAATGGCTCCATTTAGGAACAGCCACCAGTGATTGACAGAATGACTATTAATAGCTAACATTAGCTGAGCCATTCATATGGGCTCAACCTAATGCCAAGCGCTTGGAATGGACTGTCTCGTTTAAACCTGGCAACATCCTTCTGAGATGGCTGTAAATGTTCTCCCCATTTTCACAGGTCAGGAAAGTGAGACCCAGAGAGGTGAAATAATTCATGTTCAAGGTCACATGGCTCACCATTCTGTGGCTGAAATGGAACTGAAACCCACACGTCTCATGCCAAAATTCCTTTCTGCCTCTCTCAAAGTAAACAATACAATTAACTTGCAGAACTCAAGTGCTCCGTTAGCAACGATTACAATATCAACAACAATGACCCCTAACTTTTGTACAGAGTTTCATAGTTACTAAATTCACTTATGGTTGCTCTCTCATGTGATATGATAGCCCTGTGAGAGAAACAAAGCAATTTCTGAAAGCTCTTTATCCCAAATTGGGAACCTAGGTATAAGGGGCTAGGTTATTTATTCAGACATGTACCACCAGCAAAGAACCGAGTCAGACGGTTCTAATTTCTACTCCAAACCCAGTGCCCATTCCACTATTTCCCACCCCTCTCCCAATGTGGTACTTACCCTAGAGGAAGCCAGATATATTTATATTTTTTCCCAGTCATTCATTCATTTATTCATTCATCCGTCC